CTTTACTCTATTTCATGATTTCTGTGAATCCCATCATTGAACTTTACACTTGTTGATTTCATGATTTTTTTCATATTATATTTTGCTATTTTTACTACAGTACCCTTATTTATAGAATAGATATTAACCTACTAAACAATGTATATAAGTTGGCAACTTAAAAGGATGTGTATCCCCTTGACTTCATTGAATCCTTTTATTCTTTAGTTGCGTAATTGTTGTTTCATTACACCTACATTTCACAAAGAACAATTCATCACACTGGCAAAGCCACTAGTTACTTTGATCTAGAAAACCAATCAGAAGGTACCCATCGATTGATTTGGTTTGCAAGTCAAGCTCCATATGAAGGTAAAAGTAGAAGTGGTGGTGGGCATTTTGGTGGTCGCGATTTTAGAGGAGATAATTCTCATAATCGAAGTGGGGGAGGGGGAAGCACATATTAGTACAGTTGTAGTGGTGGAAATAATGGCCATTATAGTGGTGGGAGATATGATTCTAGTGTAACCATGACCCTCGATAAGATGAACTTATTTATGTTGCAAGATGGACGTGCCGTTTACAAAATTTGAGAGATATGCTCATTAATTATATTTTCTAATGAATGTAGATCATGACTTATACCCAATCGATATCATATAATTCTATTAATATTTGTCATATAACTAACATTTTTGACTTTTTTAAGTCATTGGGTTCAATACTCGAGGTCGTTGCGGTGGAAAAGAAATAAAATATTGGTGAAATCAACAGAACGGTATAGTGCCGTTAAACGTCAAAGATGTTGGTTTATCTATAAACACGAGTATGAACAGTTGTGACCCATTCGAGCCCCCGATATTCGATAAGTTGAATTCATTTACATTGCAAGATAGACGTGTTATTTACAAAATCTAAGAAATATGCTCATTAATTATATTTTCTAATGAATGTAGATAATGACTTGTGATTTTACCAACTTGACACTACATAATTTATGTCAATTATGTTGCTATTTGTTATATAATCAACATTTTCGACTTTCTTAAGTTAGGGGATCTAATGCTCGGGATCATTACGGTGGAAAAGAAGCAAAATATTGAAGAAATCAACAGAATGATACAAGTGTTGTTAAACGTTATGTGTGTCATTCTATCTATAAACACGAGTATGAGAAGCCACGACCTGTCCGAACCCCGATATTTGATAAGCCGAACTCGTTTATGTTTCAAGATAGATGTGCCGTTTACAAAATTTAAGAAATATGCTCATTAATTTTATTTTCTAACGAATGTAGATCATGACTTGTGATGTCACCCATTCAATATCATATTATTTATGTCACTTCTATCAATATTTGTCACATAACTAACATTTCTATCTTTCTTAAGTTATGGGCTCCAATGCTTGGGGTCGCTGCGGTGGAAAATAAGATAAATATTGAAGAAATCAACAGAATGACATAAGTACCGTTAAATATTACATGTGTCGTTCTATCTATAAACACGAGTACGAGCAGCCGTGACCCATTTGAGCCCAGGTATTCGATAAATTGAATTCATTTATGTTGCAAGATGAATGTGCTGTTTACAAAATTTAATAAATATGCTCATTAATTATATTTTCTAACGAATTTAGACAATGACTTGTGTATTTTACCAACTTGACACTATATAATTTATATCAATTATATTGTTATTTGTTATATAATCAACATTTTGACTTTTTACGTTAGGGGATCCAATGCTCGAGGTTATTACGGTGGAAAAGAAACAAAATAGAAATCAACAAAACGACACAAGTGCTGTTAAATGTTATGTGTGCCGTTCGATCATAAATACGAGTATGAGTAGCCATGACCTGTCCGAACACCAATATTTGATAAGTTGAACTCATCTATGTTGTAAGATAGATGTACTGTTTGCAAAATTTAAGAGATATGATCATTAATTTTATTTTCTAACGAATGTAGATCACGACATGTGATGTCACCCATTTAATATAATAAAATTTATGTCAATTCTATCAATATTGGTAACATAACTAGAATTTCTGACTCTTTTAAGTTAGAAAGTCGAATTCTCGAGGTCATTGTGGTGAAAAAAAGAAGCTAAATATTGGAGAAATAAATAGAACGACATAAGTGTTATTAAACGTAACATCACGTGTGCTGTTCTATCTATAAACACGAATATGAGCATTCACGACTCTTCCGAGCCCGATATTTAATAAGTTGAACTTATTTAAGTTGCAAGATGACATGTCGCTTACAAAATTTGAGAGATATGCTCATTACTTAACCAACATGAAAAAAGAGAACAACACAAGTGTCGTTACTGTTAAGAAATTGTCATAATTGTCGTTACGTATGCAAATAAAATATGAATAATTGATGTCGTGTATATTTTGAAATTAATTGTTATTAAATAAATAATATTTAATTTTTGAACATCATTTATAGGGTAGGCAATGGTTCGGTTCGGTGATGGTTTTTTGGGGTCGGATCGGCTAAAACCATCACCGAACCACCAATATTTTTGCGGTACCATAACCGCACCATAACCATATAAGTTGGTTCGGTTTGCCTTGATTCAGACAGTTAATAACCACGAAAATACAATATTTTTTATAGATCCAATCGACAAATTGGAAAAAAAAACAATTTATGATAAAAAGTCATTGAAAACAAAAACACAATACTAAATAGGACCGACAAAATAACGGCTGTAGTGTTGTTCTACGCCACAGGTAACGACTGGAGTGCCATTATAATCCATATAGTTGCGAACAGTACAAAAATACACCAAAAGCGAAAATAAAATCAACTAGAACATCACTTTATACTATATTCAACAATAAAAATACTAATGTACATGAGATTTCTAAAAAAACGTTGCTTTTTTCTTCAACTTCAGTAGAGATTTTATTGTAAATAATATGAAAACCAAAATTCTTGTTCAAATGCTCAAAATATTGGAGAAGATATGTGAAGAATATAATTAATAACAAGATTTTAGGGTAGCAAGCATAGAGAAATCACGTCGATGCATTTTGGAGATGAATTGAGGAATTTGATTGGATTGAAAAGGGTGTTTAAGTTTTTTTCATGGTGAGGGTATTTTGGACATTTAATATTATTTGTTTATTGTATTTTGTAATTGATGGCTATTTGACCAACAAATATTGAAATAAGGTTATTTAATCAAATACATTGTTTGACTATACTGTTTTACAAAATTATCCATAATAAAATGGTTTTGCTGTAAAATTGCAGTGCCAACGGGAGACAATGGAATTCCTCCCATTATTTTCGACGCGCCCCCACAACTTTTTAGTAATTGCAATTTCTACAAATTACCCAATTTTTTTGGTGGTTGTTTCACAAGTGAGAAAGCGTACCTAAGCTTTGACGGGTACAACAAATCTAGGTTGTGTTGAGAGTTCGCACAACAGATGAGCCACAAAATACTGATTTTTCATTTTTTTCCTTCTCTTATATTTCTATACTAAAATTATTCGTGTTTATTCATTTTATCCTTATAAAACATTGATCTAATGCTTGCTTAAGGCTAATTTAGACTATAAGGACGTTAAATAGCACTAATAGTGTTGAATATCAGTATAGGCGTCAACATATCATAAATCCTAATAAATGAGTCAAATTTTTTTGTATTTAATTAAATCTATAATTTAATGGCACATGCACTGTCACCTAGATTGGTGATTAGCATTACTCACCGATTTTGCCATAAAATGAGTATTAGCAGAACTTTACTGTCAATGTTTAAAGATAGAGGACTCATCCGAACAAAAAGCATAGGTTGCGACATCTGCTTTGATTTTCCCTGAAGGCTTAAACGCAGAATTCACTCATCCTTCCCCTTTTCTCCGTCAAACTTCGATCTTTACTTCCATACTGACTATTGCTTTCCTCTTTACCCGTTCGTCCAGAGATCCCCATTTCCAAGTAAAATCTCTGCCTATCTGTTTCCCTCTCTCACACACACACATATATAGCGTATTTATTTTTATATATATCTCGTCTAATAAATATTACCGATTTTTGCTTTGGGATTTAATTTTAACCCAAAGTTAATTTTTTTCCTTTAGGTCACATCTGTATTTTGTATGCAGTGTGTGTATTTATTGAATTTGTATTACCGTAGAAAATTTGTAGAATTGCATTAAGTTGAACTCATTTTTTATGTTTAATGGTTTATGTGAAGGTAGATTTTAGCGAGATAACAAAGTAACAATTTTTGGAAGTAATTTTGCTGATCAACTAAGACATGTAAAGAAGAATATAGAATGTTTACATTCACTTTTCATTATTTGAATACGAGAGAGAGGTTAGGAATGTAGAGGACGGTGCAGGGTGGGTTTAGAGTTATTTTTAGAATGCACTGTAGGCGATCGCCTAAGGCCCCACTTCAGTGAGGCTCCAAAAAAATTATTATTTTTTATTTTACAAGTATTTTTACATATACATAGGATCCCAATTTGAAATTGGTCTAAGGCCCCCAAAATCTAAGGGCCAGCCTTGTTTTAGATGGAGTAGACCAGGCAGAGTTCCATTCCTTCCGAGAAAGGATCCACCCCTGAGAACATAGAGTAGCTGATACAATTACGCGTGATTTTATATTTTATGATTGTTTTGTTTATTTTGGACTCAATAGAGAGAGAGAGAGAGAGAGAGAGAGAGAGTGATTGCTTTTGATATTCACAAGTTCCAACATAGTATAGGCGCTCGAAAATGTTGCAAAGCTAGAATTCCAAATGCTGAAGTATAACTAAGTCAGTCTATTTTATAATAGATAAGTAGATAATGAAAAAGAATAAAAAGTTCACAAATTTGAGTTCCATCTCATGTATGTTGTGTGATGTTCTTCTTTTGCTACCATACTGAAGAGGAAAAATTTCTTCGCCTTTTTATTTCCCCACAGGTCTAGCGGAGTTTAAATTTTCTTTCCTCCCCAATCCAGGAAATTACTGAGAATTGGAGTCTAAGCAGCAGAAGCGAGATGTCTAGGTTCCACATTGGTGGGAAAGTAGTGGACAGTGTCGATTTTCTGCAGAAGAGGCACTGGGCATGGCGTTTGGATTTGTGGCCGTTTGCAATTATTTATGGTGTGTGGCTGATGGCTATAGTCCCTATCTTGGATGCTGGGGATGCCTTTATAGTTCTGGGCGGCCTTGTAGCTATACACATTCTCGTTTTCCTGTTCACTGTTTGGTCTGTGGACTTCAAATGCTTTGTTCAATACACCAAGGTTCATTTTATGTCCCCAAAAATTACCCACTTCTAATATTTTCATTCTCTTACATTTTTGTAGCACATTTTTTATCATTATTGGATAAAAGATCTCTGTTTGTCTGAATTATTAAAAAAAAAGTGCTTGAAAATTGCAAGCAATTGTGAGTTTTGACCAAAAGTATATGAACAAAGCCTTGATCTATATATCGGATTCTAGGCTAAGGTTCCATTGATTCATTTTGCATTTTAATATCATGTTTTCTTTAGGAATTTTACACTGGCTCTTACACCACATTTTGAGGTCTGCTTGCACAGTCTGAAGATTGATCTAATTATATAATTGATTTATGTATTCTCTCGTCTCTCTAATTCTTAAGCAAGATCTTGTAACTAACCGTGTATAGTTTCTCTTCCATTATTCGATGCTTCTGGATTTATTAATCAAGTTTTCATGTTTTACATGTCTGTAAATATTGACATTGTTAGTATTTGTAATGTTTATACAAGCATCGTGATTAGGGGCGTATCTAGCCCATCCCTACCCATATATAAAATTTAGAGTAAAATATAACTTTTTGGCCCTAATATCTGTGTTAGCCCAGCTCTAGCTTGAATCCCAACCCAAGCCCAATGCTTAGTTATCCAAATTTGTTTAAAGACTCTACAATTATTAAATATTCTTTTCATGACATTAATGCAACATGAATAGCTTATTCCCAAATTAGTTATTTTATTTAATGCACGTTTGACAAAATTTACTTATGATTATATAAGTAAATTTTATAATAAATAATTTCTATTGATAGAGCTAAAAATAAATTACTTATTCTAATATTAAGAGACACTACATGTATGGCTACGCTTAAAAGTAAATAATTTGTTGTTCCTACGTATGTTTTCACGTATTACTTATTGATACTTATTAGAAAAAATTACTTATTTTGATCATGAAATAGATGTTATGATCAAAATAAATAATTTGCTCCAGATTTGGTCTTGTCAATAAAAAGAATAACCTTATTTATTTATAAACAAATCTGATTTAAGTATTTTCTTAAAGCTGGGCCAAACATGGACTTGAACTAAATCCAATTTCTTTGGACCCTGAGAATTCTTGTTCAGTTTTTCTCACTCACTATGGAATGTGTTGACACCAAATAGTATTTTGAGAACAATAACATATAATGATATATTTCATTGAGTGTCACGCACTCTTTGTCGTGAATGTCATGAGCTTAACCTCGTAAACTTGATCTCTTGTAGCATGAGTTCATTTAGAATTTTTTAAATTTTAGCCCATTCTAATATCATTTTTTGGCTTAGCTCTTGATCGTGACAAATGACTCATAGTCGAGTCAGTGAATAAAGCATCACTATTTACTATCAAGGAGGTATCTTGGCCTCTCAAAGCACACCTCATTAATACATATTGCTACATGCATACAATGTTACATGCTGCAGGAAATTACATGACAAAATAATTTAGGACATTTGCAACAGCCTAATGTCTTAATGATTTGATATTCTTTTTCTGATTGTGTTTGTGCACATGTAACATGATTTACTAGTTAATCTTTGGCTGGAAACATATAGCATTCTGCTTTAAAGATATCATTGAATAAATCTATTTTGATCGCTTTATTTGGCAGGTTAATGATATACACCGCGCAGATACATGCAAAGTTACTCCAGCTAAATTCTCTGGGTCTAAGGAAATTGTTCCCCTTCACTTTCGGAAGGTTGGATTCTCTCCCTCTCTTTTTGCATGCACTCGTGTGCTTACTTTCCATACTAGTTCATACTGAATAATAATAATGATTTTGCATGTCTATGTAAGTAAATATGTCAATAATTGAGTGGAAGTTCGTTAAATAGTTGACTGTAATTGTGTCATATAGGTCTCACACTGTCCCTATCCACACACCGTTTTAAGCACATCTATGCATACATCTATGTCAAACGGATATGATTATTCATGTGCGGATTGTACTTGATGGCATTGATGCCTGAGAGTGCGGCTGCAAGTTTGATATACACACTATCATCTTGTTTGAGAAGCAATAAAAAACACTCGAATTGATTGAAGGTACTTTGTGGCCAAAAAATGTAGAAGCAGGCAATTGGAATACCAACATGACAAAAATACAGAAAATGGCAACCATCTAACCATTCATGTTTCTCATCTTCTGTTTGCATAGGCCCCGGAGCATCTAATTGTGTGCTTAATCAGTATACGGCGAGGGTAATTGTGAAGCATATAACTCCTTCTCACACCCTAGAACATATTCTCACAAGTGTGTATTGCACTTAGTTAAGATCTTCTCCGACATGAGCCTTCCTGGGGCTTGGAGAAGAATTCAAGTAATGTTGGCTGAGATTCTATCAAGAAATAACAAACAAATAAATAAAATAAAGCCGACTGAAGACTTTGGTTTTATAATTTATATGCCTAATAACTTCAGTTATAGAAATTTTTGTTCATGTTAAACATGTTGCTAATTTTTACACCATGGGTATTTTAGATTTCAACCTTATCATTACTGGATTCTACCTTCACAAATTTTGGGGGTTACAACTTCCAGAAGAAGTTTTTCTCAAACTATACGCTTCATGAAAAGATAAACAAATATGAATAAAAATGTGGTGCTTTTACCCAGATTATTATCTCAATTTAACTTTGCTTCCACAGTTGGCAGGTTCATCAAATTCAGTAGACGTGGAAGAGATTTATTTTGATTTCAGGAAGCAAAGGTTCATCTATTCAAAAGAGAAAAATACCTTTTGCAAACTTCCTTATCCTTCAAAAGAAAAAATTGGGTATTATATCAAAAATACTGGCTATGGCACTGACGCTAAAGTTATTGCTGCTACTGAGAAATGGGGAAGAAATGTGTATGTTTCACCTCTTTCTTTCTTTTTTATTTTTTATTTTTTTATCATCATCATCATCATCATCATCATCAATTTTATTGTTGATGACTGTCATGTTGACTTGAAAAAATTTCATTTGTGATAATGGAGATATTAGATATCAATTCCAACAGTTTCCTCTAGCCTTTCTAGGAAAAAAATAAAGAAAAACATTTTATCTCTTTCCCAACTTTTGGTTTCCCTTTTCCTGTCTTACAAATGGAAACCATCATTTTGTATGATTGCTTTGTTTACAAAAAGAGTCACGTTCTTTATAATATAATACACTCACCAGACATTAGAAGGACGTGCCTCTCTCTCTCTCTGGCGCTTTGATTAATTATATTGGGAGACACATCTGCTTATCTATGAATCTGCTTAAGCGTGATTCATTTTTCTAAATTGAGTACACTAATGTTGCAAATTATATACTAGCTTTAATTGACTGAAATTTAGTTGTGCAATTCAGCAGTTAATATTGGTGCTGTCTTCTTGTACATGGCCCTTGACAACTTCAATTTTTTATCTTACATGTTCATTGTAACAATAATATCTTATCTACTCAGTATAATAAATGAAATCTATGTTTACTATAATTATTTAGTGTTATCCTCAATATCTATGTTTTGTAGTTACTTTGTTCACACATATCTATCCTCCCTGTAATTATTTAGCGATATCTGTGTTTTTAAGGTGCCTCTCTCTCTCTTGCTTTGATTAATTATATTGGGAGACACATCTGCTTATCTTTGAATCTGCTTAAGCATTATTCATTTTTCTAAATTGAGTACACTAATGTTGCACATTATATACCAGCTTTAATTGACTGAAATTAGTTGTGCAATTCAGCAGTTAATATTGGTGCTGTCTTCTTGTACATGGCCATTGACAACTTCAAATTTTTGTTCATAGATGCGATGCACCATGAAATTATGTTGAAATTAGTTGTATTTTTGCATGTGTTCATTGTAACAATTATATATTATTTACTCGGTATAAATAAATAAAATCTATGTTTACTATAATTATTTAGTGTTATCTTTGCGTATTATAATTAGAATTATTCTACATGTACATCAGGGTTTATACCCAATTCTACATAATGTCCAAGTGACATTTCATCATTGGCTAACCCTAGTGTACATAATGCCCCACTAGGGTGTAAGCCTTGATGTACACGTAGAAAAACCCTTATAATTATTTAGCAATATCTATATTTTGTGATTGCTTCGTTCACACACATCTGTCCTCCTTGTAAGTTAATGCCGCTTAGTGGTAAAGGAGATACTGTGTGTGTCAACTGTAGTAGCTTTGTCTGCTTCTAATGTTGATCTTGATTATGTAGATTTGAATACCCTCAGCCAACATTCCCAAAATTGATGAAAGAGCAAATCATGGAACCATTTTTTGTATTTCAGGTTTGTTGTCATTCTGATTAGCTTTTTCATTTCAGCTTGATTTGTTTTCTTCGAATATGAGTTACACTGACACATTTCTGTATCTATGCATTCTATTTCTCTTTGTGCATTAAACTCCAAACTTCAATTCCGACCACCACATTTAGGTCTTCTGTGTGGGACTATGGTGCTTAGATGAGTACTGGTATTACAGTCTTTTCACCCTATTCATGCTGTTCATGTTTGAGTCTACTATGGCAAAAAGCCGTTTGAAGACCCTATCTGAGCTTAGACGTGTAAAAGTGGACAGCCAGACTCTGATGGTGTATCGTTCTGGGAAGTATGTTATGCAAAAATGCCAAATGTCGTCTCTCATTTTGATCTTTCACGTTTTATTTTACACATGATTGGATTTTTGTGCATTGACTGTTTGAATTTGGAATTTAGGTGGGTGAAACTATCAGGGACTGAGCTTCTTCCTGGGGATGTTGTCTCAATTGGCCGTTCTACTAATCAGAGTGGAGAAGACAACTCTGTACCTGCAGATATGCTTATTTTAGCTGGGAGTGCTATCGTTAATGAAGCTATTTTAACTGGCGAGTCAACTCCTCAATGGAAGGTGGTATTCTATCTTTTTTTTCCTCACTTATTTGGGAATAAGTTTCCATCACTATTCACAAGACCTACAAAGATTGTATTCTTGGTTTTATGATAAATCCCATGTGTCTTATATGAAAAAACTGATATGATAATACCTTGATTACGTCGTATTTTTTGTGGTATTTATATCTGTATCCATGGAATTAGATACCTGTATGTGGACAAACTTTGAACCTGCATTCACAGGGTTAATGTGGGCATGCTCAGAATTGTTATGCAGAATTGAAGTCGGTTTTGAATTGTGATTATTCTGTTGATCCCGCATAAGTATAATGCATACTTTCAGCAAATTAGCAAGTAGCTTTTCCCCTCGTTCAAGACCTGGGTTAGATTTCTGTGCTGCTTAATTTTTGCATATCAGAAGGACTAATGAGGACCAAAAAAGACTTCGAAGCTCTAGGTTTCGAAATTATTTCTTAATTTCAAATGGATTTCGGCCAACTCAATTGGCTTCTAAGAAAATGTCGCCTCCTTTATCTCTTGCCCCCATGTGCCACAAAATGATTTTCAATATCTGCACTGAGCCTCATTTAGAGGTTTTGAAGCACCGTACCTCACCTCTATTGAACCCCTCCCAAGCACCGTGTTTGCCATACTACTTACAGAAATCTGTGAAACTCATTTGTTGAAGAAAGTGCAACTGCTCCGAGTCTAATCTGGAGCACCTTTGATGATGGTCATGATTTTGAAGCAATTTTTTGTTTTATTCTTATCTGGAATTCTCATCTCAAAGATCAAGCAATTTTCAGGTTTCAGTAATGGGTAGAGGAATTGAAGAGAAACTGTCACCTAGACGAGACAAGGCAAATGTTCTTTTTGGTGGTACGAAGATATTGCAACACACACCGGATAAGGTGATTTTTGTTCTTCATTACATTTCACACAGGTATCTGGGGACACAAATTTTAACATTTCATCCCCCCCTTTTTTCCCTCGAGACAGACATTTCATATGAAAACCCCTGATGGTGGCTGCCTGGCAGTCGTTCTACGAACTGGATTTGAAACGAGTCAAGGGAAACTGATGCGGACTATACTATTTTCTACCGAGAGAGTAATTTTTTTATTGTTTGTGAATGATTATATGACAATTTATAGTATCTCTCCATAATTTCTTTATGATGTTTTGTTATATAGGTTACTGCTAATAGCTGGGAAAGTGGACTCTTTATTTTGTTCCTTGTAGTATTTGCTTTAATAGCTGCTGGATATGTTCTTAAGAAGGTAAAGATTGTGCATTTATTAGGTTAAAATGTCAGACTTAGCCAGAATTTCATATTGGTTATGGTAACAAAATGTGCTCTGATGTAGGGGCTGGAGGACCCAACAAGGAGTAAATACAAGCTATTTCTGAGTTGTTCATTAATCATTACCTCTGTGATCCCCCCTGAACTGCCAATGGAGCTATCAATAGCTGTTAATACGTCGTTGATTGCACTAGCGCGTCGTGGGATATACTGTACGGAACCATTTCGAATTCCATTTGCTGGGAAGGTGAGCATTACAAAGTTTTGGATGATCTTGTATAGTAGCTATTATATACTTACTTTATCACCAGAGATAATTCTAATGGCGTTGTCTTTGCCTCATTCCAGTATTTGTCCCCCCCCCCGCCGAATGCTTTCTCGATTGTGCAATACATTTTAGATTTCTCTTTTCTTGTTTTATTGCTTTAGAATCATTTGCCTGTGCATGGTTGTAGTTCAGATTTTTTATGGTTTATTTTGCTTGAAGTTAATATCATGGCTTGGACTCCATTAGATTACCTATAGTTACACAACATTTTGTAGCGTCAGAGTTGGAATCACAATGACCCATTATATCCGTTACAAAAAATGTCCTCTTTTCTTGAATTCTTTTCATTCTATAAAACAATTAAGTGCAGTAATTAGTGAACCTTGACAGAGTTTGTATGGAAACCAAAATGTTAATTATGATACAGGGGATTGAGCCATGGTAGGATGCTATGCTCAACCGATAAGCTTTCTTTGATTTAGCAAGTTGCAACTCGCAAGAATAGAAAACTTTCATTCTTTGCTTTTTAATCTGAACTCTATAGTACTGCTTTTCTTTTTATTACTGATGCTGCTAACTTGCAGATTATCTGACGTAAATGAGATTCTTATTATTATTATTATTTTTTTTAATGGACATCAAACCAACCTTGAGATGTAGTTGGGCTGTATCCAGTGTTTGTTTTACATTTCTTACAGTCATGTAATTTTCTGACTCTCAATCTGTTGCATTCTTAATGAGTGTAAAACGTTTCCAGCTGTATCTGAAATCTAATATATACATGTTGAGTAGTGTTCTCTTGGTTTATGGAAAAGCAGTCCTTAATCACATTGCTCATCTTCTGTTGAATATATGCTTATTTGAAGTATTTTTACTGATGAATACTGTTAATCAAAACATCAACTTTAGCAAGCCTTTGGCTATATGAACTCTACACCTGTTAATTCCATTCTGATGGTACTATTCACATTCACATTTTAAATGAGTATTTCCTGGAGCTTCTTTATCTTCTCTGGTAGCGTTTAATAGGTTTTCCCCATTGCTTGCAGTGTTTTTAATATTTTTTTACGATGTTACAACGTGATTTCAAAATTAATATATCAATAAAATGAAGAAGGGAAATAACTTTATAGGTTTGTAGTTTAAATATTCAATTATTTTCATTTTATGGTATTTTACTACATTACCTAATCTTTTCCCTCAGGTTGATATATGCTGTTTTGACAAGACTGGAACATTAACATCTGATGACATGGTATTGCAATTCTAAAGTTCCGATATATTATTCTAGTTCAAGAATTACCTTTCATGGTGACGTTTTATGCTCTGCTATTCAGGAGTTTTCTGGAGTTGGCGGGTTGATGGACAATGAGGACCTAGAAACAGATATCTCTAAATTGCCTACACGCACTTTGGAAATTCTTGCTTCTTGTCATGCCCTGGTTTTTGTGGACAATAAGCTGGTATAATTTTTTATCATTGAACAAAAGTTATGAACTACTCTATGCTGTTTTTCCTTTCTTTTTTTTTTTTTTTTTTTTTTATGGTGGCATAGTAGTATTCCTTTTTGCTTTTTTCTTCCCATGGAATCAGCATTCCATCAGTGTCGAAGTGTTGAATTCTTCTCCTCACATTTTTCAGTGTCAGGCCTGTTCTTTTCTGGTTATCATAAAGCTCCAGATAATCTGAAGTTAATCAAAATTTCCTTCCAAGAGAAAATAACCAGTTTATCTGATCACTCGCTCTTCTGGTGTATATTGGGGCGGAAGGAAGTTGAAACGCCAAACCTTCTTGTGCTACACTAGTGACTCCTTGATTTCTATTTACAAATTTGTTTAATGAGGACCAAGTTGGAAGAAAAAATAATAAAAGTATCGCCGCTTAATAATTTTATGTAAAATAACCTCCTTTTGATTGAGATTCCCAAAGCACCTCATCTTCTTCATCACCCTCTACTCCAAGTCCAACCTTGCATCTCCCCTTCTCCGACTTGCCCGCCCCTTCCAGCTCACTGCATTGTAATTCTTTAGTCCACACAGAAAGGAGTGATATATATTAAGTAGCATATGTGCAAACTTTTGTACAAAGACACAAGTGAATTTGATAGTGATAAAGTTTCCTAAAAAATGAATAAAAATTTCTACATATGATTAAATCATTAAAGCAGAAGTTTTAACTGGGGAATAGAGCCTGAAGTATTGCCATACTAATAAAAGGCTGCCCAACCCCTTTTGATAAATCCAGGCAGCAAAAAATGATCCCGATGTATCTCCAAACATAAATATGCCAATATGAGAAGAAACACAACTTTATATTAATGAGTAAAATAGAAGATAAATGAAAAACAATGGAGCTTCACATTAATGCATTTCGCACCTTTTGCAAAATTTTCTTCCATAATCTTCTCTATGGGAATTAATTTGGAAGGCTCGTCCTTTGCTGCATTCCCCCTTCCCTCCCTGGCCCGTACCCCCCAGCCCATTTGTTACTCCGCAGATCATGCTAACAAGGGCCTCGGGGGAACGCAGCTGGGCTATTTGTTGGGGGGGGGGTGTAGTTGGTGGGGATGGAGGATGACTTTTGAAGATGAAGTCCATTTTTTAATAAGGTCAAATTAATCATTTGATATAAAAAGGCCTTTTAATTGTAAAGATTTTAGTAGACAATTTTTTGCTCAAGCATTACAAGAGTGTTATTTTGAAAAATTTGTCATCACAGTTTACTGTCTACGACAATTTTTTGTTGATTTAACCATGAATGATGAAAGGTAGTCTACTAGATCTATAGTAGTATATGTAATATGAGCATGCCTTTGTGTTTATTCTCTGGAAAATGTAGTCAATTCCCTCTCAAAACACATTATTTTGGCAACGGCATTAGCTGGAAGGTGAGAGACTCCCTATCATCTCCCACAGGTTTGAAGGTTCAGTTACATATATTCTTGGCAAATCAGTATGGACCATTCATCTTCTAATACCAGTTTCTTCTTTCATTTTACGCCCCTTAACCATGTTCATTTAAATTCTAGGGTAGATAACAAATAACTTTTGAGGTTGTCCCTTTTTGAGTGGTACTTGAAACTCTCATGCATTACAGTAGTGTTTCTGAACATTTGGATGTAGGTTGGTGATCCTCTTGAGAAGGCTGCATTGAAAGGAATTGAGTGGAGCTATAAATCAGATGAGAAGTCCATGCCAAAGAAGTATGCTACAACATTTGTTGTTTTTTATACATGTTTAAATGTGGTTGATTGAACTTTGTTCAACTTTTCATGTATCTCTATAGTCTCATTACAAACGTTAAATGTCCTTGTTTCTTTTCTTCCCATTCTTCATGAGTTTCTCTGAGACTAGTTTGCCAGAGCATTTTTGCCTCTAGAAAAAACATGTTGCTTTCAGGCTCTAGAGGAGTGTAAGTGAGAGAAAGCCTTTACTAAATCAAGGTCAAAATTCGTCTGATCTAGAACAAGCAGACATTGTGCCTTCCACTATTGCACAGCGTTTGATGGAGAACCCAATCAGAGAGAGAAATATAAATGTTCTGTTTCAGATTTAAATAGGATCTATTCCATATCTTTTTCCTACCCTCAGTCAATGTCATGGTTATTAGGACTTATTTTTTCTTTCTTGTACTTTAATGTATATATCCTTGCAGAATAAGTACATTAAAACTTTCTTTTTATAATGTCTGTATCATACTGATGGATTTGTACTCATCTCAACTGGGAGAGCACATACATACTGTACCGCCTTTATGCCTCGTTTGGAAAGAGATGTTGAATTGTGCATTATTGACTAAAAAGTGGCCCTTTGGGCCTTCATGGTGTTGTTCTCTTTGGTTTGGGCACTGGGAGGAGTCGAGTTGTTTCACACTGGGACATTCTGTTTAGATTTGATGGTGTAGCTTCGCTGTATGATAGACTGGTCATATTTACTCACAAACATTAACATTATTATAAATAGTTAAAGGTTGTAAGTTTTAAGGTTCTGACTTTTGGCTTTCATTAATTGGAATTAGTTCAGATATGCATAATTGATCTAGAATGTTATAATTTCGATCTTGCTTTTGATGCAAAAGACAAAAGATACTGCAGAAAGTGTGTTACGCTAATTAATGAATAGCATATAATTGCTCCCCCCCCCCGGGGGGGTTTTTTGGGGGAGAAGAGGATGTCAAGAGAAATTAAGGTAGACACTACATGAACTTTAATACTATGGAATCTGTACAGGGGAGTAAATAATACCAATTATATTTGCATAGATGCCTAATGTGCTCTGTTCCCAAAGTGTGTATGGTCTGACCAGCTTTCTTGTCTAGGTGGAATTGTGTAGTAAATTCCACTCTCAAGAGCAAGAGTTTGAGTCGATATGAACCCACATTAAAAAAAATTGTGTGTGATCTCTTCTTGAAAATTTACAAGTATATTTATCTTATTTATCTATTGTCAGCTAAATGGCATCCCTGTGTTCCAATTTTTCTCTTGGTTCAACAAATGCAGGGGGGGTGGCAATGCTGTACAGATTGTGCAGAGACACCACTTTGCTTCTCACTTAAAAAGAATGGGAGTTGTAGTTCGTGTTCAGGAGCAATTTTTTGCATTTGTGAAGGTTTGAACTTGCATTTTTTTGTTTCTTATTGCATCATAGATTTAGGTTGATCTAGAAAATACAAATTTAATTTTTTTCTAAATGTTTCTAATTTTATTTTGGCTTCTTAATTCAAATTTTTTCAACAATATATTCCTAATTGTTGAGATCATGTACTTTTTCCAAGATCCAATTTGAATGATATATTTGTGAATTGTTTGATCTGTGATTCCATATGATGAATTATCACTAGGACACAGATGACTGTAGTAATGCTACTGATTGCTCAATACAACATATAAACAAGGACACTGCCTGAAACTTCAAATTTAAATCATATTGAGAATTTGTCCTAGAGAGAGTCTCGCACTTCTCAAACAGAATAATGCCAAAGTAGAGCTGAATTGGCTAAAGCTATCGGAAACAGATGTCCTTCACTGGCTTAGAGGCGTTGGCCTATTTTACATTATTACAATCTACTCAAGATAGCTTTATCTTAAAGTATTCACAGTTGGCTACAGGATACTTCTTTCATGCTGCTCTTTTAAGAAGTGTATCCATAGTTAAAGTCAAAGGCTCCAATTGTTTTTAATTATGTACTCCAGTATAAGTTAATCCGACCTCTTTCTCTAAGTTTGTCATTCTGCCAGTTTCACTTTTCCTAATAAGTGCTTATAGCATTCTCTTTTTATTGGATGTGCCCTAACCATCTTGACCTGATGTCTGTAATTTTTCTTTATGTGCTACCTTAACCACTACAAGTTTATGTTTGTTTCTTATTCCATCTCTTCTTCACCTCAAGTTCTCCTTAGCATGCTCTTTTCAATGACACTCAGTCTATGTATATATTGGCTTTTTGATTGCCCTATATTTGGTCCCATACGAGACAACTGCTAGACTTGTTGAAGGCGGATAGAATTTTGAACCTGTCATACAATATTTCAGAATTCAATTTTACAAGTCCAAAACTATAAATCACCGTGGAACCAATTTTTATGTCTTCCAATTCAGCTTGTATGAAAATGGGTTGTATGCCTAGATTAAACATGGAGTCTGACTGCTTTTCTTCTCACTGTCTTTTATGTCTGGATAAACATACCCAACATTTACCAGTATAAATTTGCACCCTTTTTTTCCTTCTCTTGAATTGATCATCATTTAGTCTTGATTAGATATACGTATATTATTGACATGTGTGCATATATAGTTTATGTTTCATTTTTAAGGTCTTATACTCTATTGCCATTTTTGAACAAGTGCTATTATGGGTTCCTTTTCATGTAGTGAAATGATTTTTGAATTTTCACCACGTTCCTGAATAGGCTCCCGCAAGTATTTTTTATTGGCCCCTGAACTTTTGATCCGGTGATGACGGGGAAATTATTTTGTATTTCTAATTTGTTCTAATTGATTTAATTTTTATTTTGTTTTCTTCTTTGATTTTACTGAATTTCATGGATTTTTTAATTTTTTTTTTGCACTGTAAAATTTCAGGGTGCACCAGAAACTATTCAGGAAAGACTTGTTGATGTGCCAACGTTCTACATGAAGACCTACAAGAAACACACACGTCAAGGATCTCGTGTCCTGGCATTGGCCTACAAGTCTCTTCCAGATATGACAGTAAGAATACGCTGTTAGAATATTTTATCCTTACAGTATTCAGCTCTTCAACCATTTCATAAATCTACATTGTTAATATTCAATCTAGTGTACATGTAGATGGCAGCAATCTGTCACTAAGAAACGGTTATGGGAATAACTCTTTACCTGTACCTTACATTTATTTGGTTTCTTCATTTTTCTCCTGGACTTGTTTGTACCTATTAATACTGCATCAATAGATAAACTGGTAAAGGGCAATATACTCTTGTGGTCTTGCATTTTTCCTTTTAAATGTTATATGACAACAATAATAAACAGGCCCTTTATGTAGTCACTCATCCTCCGAAGGCATGTTTGGTGGGAGGGAAGTTGGGTGGAAAGAAAAGGCAGAGTGGGAAGTGTACTATAAGCTGGGTTGGAAGGATCATAGACTGGTGTGGAAACAGAATCTCTTATTTTGTTAAAGTAACTTGTTGCAAATTTTTAGTTGCATTTTCTAAATTTTTTACCTAAGGAGAGGGACATTAGTTTCCCCAACAAGGGAAGCAATTGGACTTCCACCTATTCTTCCCATTTCCACTTAAAGGTTTCTGTAATCTTTTGTGGTAGTTAATTGATATACTCTTGTATATTATCTATTTAATGACCTTGTTCAGATTTTTATTTTTTATTTTATTTTATTTTTTTGTTTTAAAGTGACCAGCTCAGTGAGTTACATTATTACATATCTCTTTTGTTTGTATAATTTGCAAGTCCTGATTTCTTTTTAATCGAGAATGGCCCAATCGCATAAAATTTTCATAAAAGAAGAAAGAAATCCCATTTTTTTCATGAGATGGATAAAAAAACTGATGCAAGTAAGATTTGAATCTTTATTCTTTTCATCTCATGGGGGGGACAAGGTCTTCTATTTTGGTTCCTGGTTTCTCTTGGCTATATGGTTCATCCGTGGGAGAGATCGAGCTTCAAGGAATAGTGAATGGTCTTATCAATACACAAATGTATAACTCTCCAGGAATTTCAATTGTGCTCCTTAAGGTCCTCTCGAATAGAAATAGAGAACAAAGTAACTAGAAAGATTGTTAGAATCACCTTATTCTAGAAGGATCATCTAGAAAGCGATTCGTTTTGTCTGAACAGAGATCTACAATTTTTTTTTTTTTTTTTTCACTTTTGAAAAATGGTGATGCTTAGTGTTCTAAGGGGAGAGTTGGAGAGACTGGTGGAGATGGAGGAGATTGCTTGACGACAGAAATCTAGGGTTACATGGTTGAAAGAGGGAGACAAATGCACCAAATTCTTCCATAAAGTCGCTAATTCTAACAGGCGCAAAAACACTATCACCCTATTGGAGGTTGATGGGATTACTTATGAGGATGCGCAGGATATTGAGAATCAGATGGTGAGATTCTATCAAAATCTCTATCGGGAAGAGTTTGACTGGAGACCAAAGGTGGATGGACTGTACTTTTCATCTATCACGGAGGAGGATGCCAGTTGGTTAAAGAGACCATTTGCAAAAGATGAAATCAAGGATGTGGTTTTTAGTATGAATGAAGATAAGGCACCAGGACCGGATGGCTTCTCGTTCGCATTTTATAAGGCTTGTTGGGAGGTGGTGGGATCGGACATTATAGATGTTATCACTTATTTTTTTGAGTACGGCAGGTTACTGAGAAGTTCTAACGCCACATTTATTGTGCTGATTCCAAAGAAATCGGGAGCAGTTGACATTAAGGATTTTCGTCCTATCAGCTTAGTTAGTGGGATGTACAAGATTATCGCGAAGATCCTGGCGAATAGATTGAAGGAGGTGATGGGAAAGTGGTGACTAAGAGTCAGAATGCTTTTGTGAAAGGAAGACAGATTTTGGATTCTGTGATTATAGCGAATGAATGCGTCGACTCCCGATTGCGCTTGGGGGTGCCAGGAATGTTATGTAAACCTGATATTCAGAAGGTCTATGATCACATGAACTGGGGGTTTCTTCTGTACATGCTCGAGCGATGTGGCTTTGGGGAAAAGTGGTGCAAGTGGATTCAATTTTTTATCTCCACCGTTTCATTCTCCGTTTTGGTCAATGGCAACCCAGAGGGTCATTTTCGAAGTAGTAGAGGTTTCAGGCAAGGGGATCCCGTCTCCGTTGCTGTTTGTGATTGTTATGGAGGCAATTAGTAAGATGCTTGAGAGAGCTGTGGAAGAAGGATTGTTAAGGGGCTTTACGGTTGGACATTTACAGGTTTCCCATTTGCTATTTGCAGATGATACACTGATCCTCTGCGATGTAGATAATGAGCAGTTCAGGAACTTGCGCCGGCTACTTCTATGTTTTGAAGCGGTGTCGGGATAGAAGACTAATTTAAGGAAATCCGAGGTCATTCCAGTGGGAGAGGTTGCTAACGTGCATGAGTTGGCCGATATTTTGGGTTGTAGGGTTGCGCAATTGTCTATGTCATACCTTGGGCTTCCCTTAGGGGCAAGGTTTAAATGTCAACATATCTGGAATGGAGTTGTTGAAAGGATGGAGAAGAGGTTAGCGAGGTGGAAGCGCATGTACCTTTTGAAGGGAGGTCGCCTTACTCTTATTAAATCTACTCTGTCCAATCTCCCGACTTATTTCTTGTCATTGTTTCCTATCCCTAGTAGTGGCAAACAGATTAGAGAGGATTCAAAGGGAGTTTCTTTGAGCAGGGCTAGGGGAAGAGAGGAAATTTCATTTGGTTAATTGGGGTGTGGTTTGTTCTCCTGTTAGGATGGGGGGGCCTTGGAGTGAGGAGCCTTGTTCTATTTAATAAGGCTTTATTGGGCAAGTGGTTGTGGCGATTTGGAGTGGAGAGGGAGAGTCTTTGGAGACAAATCATAGGAGCAAAGTTTGGTGTGATGGAGGGGGGTTGGTCTCGATCGAGGGTCGTGAATCTTATGGGATGAGTTTGTGGAAGTATATCAGACGAAGATTGAATGACTTTCGAGAGAAATTGACTTATATGACTAGGAATGACAATAGTATCAGATTTTGGGATGATTGTTGGTGTGGAGATCATCCGCTAAAGGCACAGTTTCCTTCTTTACATCGCATTACCCTGGAGCCTACCGCTATGGCGAATGACGTCCTAGCCATACATAATGGAAATTATTGCTAGAATATTGCCTTAGAGAGGGGTTTGCAAGATTGGGAACTGGATGATTATGCACTGTTTTTGACCTCCCTGCACGAGGTGCATATTCAAGTGGGAGAAGATGATAGGAACAGATGGAAGCTGGCACGAGATGGTAATTCTCTGTTTGCACTTACTTTAGATCCATATTGGGATTGACGGAAAGTTCATTTCCTTGGAAGATGGTTTGGCAATGTAAACTGCCCCCACGGGTGGCTTTCTTGTTATGGATGGCTGTGAGGGGGCAGACATTAACGGTGGATAATCTTCGTAGAAAAGGTTTTTATGTTACCGAATGGTGTTATATGTGCAAGAGAGACGGAGAAACGAATGACCATTTGTTCCTCCATTGTGAAGGTGTACGGTGGTTGTGGAACACTATTCTAGCTTCCCAACATATGGATTGGGTGATGCCTAGGCGTATGGAGGATGTGTTGCGGGCATGGAGGAGAAAATTCCGAGATAAGGATAGTAGGCTTGCGTGGAACATAATTCTAGGATGCATTGTGTGGTGTGTATAGAGAGAAAGGAACAACCGTTGTTTCGAAGGCCAAGCAAGAGCAACCGAGCAAATTAGAGAATGGTTCTTTATGACTTTGTATACTTGGTCTAAGGCTGTAGCCACAAATTATGTAGAAGGGTTACCAAACTTTATGTCGTTTCTTTCCTGTTTAAATTGATAATACACCCCCCATGTATTATCTATTAATAAAATTACTTGATTACTTATAAAAAAAAAAAAAAAATGGTGATGCTTAGTTATTCATATATCTAGTATTTTCTGAATATTTCTATAGAAACATTTTCCCATAAGTACAAAATTATATCTTTATTCATTGATATGTGATAGGATCACATGGTGTTCTATGTGTGGTTTTCTTATCTGCGTATCTTCATTTATCCCCATAATTGTTTCATTTATGCCTGTTTAAGCTGATGACAATTGTGTTTATTGTTTGAAGGTTAGTGAAGCTAGAAGCTTAGAGAGAGAAGTGGTGGAAAGTGGTCTTACTTTTGCTGGTTTTGTGGTAAAAGATCTAATTCAAAGAATGCAATTTTCTGGAATACACAAAATTTGGGGAGAGCATTAGTATGCTCTCTTCTTTCTTGTTATGCCTTTGTTACTTTGTGAGTTGCATGCTTCAGGTATTCAATTGTCCTATCAGAGGAGATTCAGCAACTATTCTAACTGAATTAAAAGGGTCATCACATGACTTGGTGAGTTTGATATTCTTTCAAGTAATTTCATTATGTGCTTCTATCATCCACAGTCTATCTGATATGTTTGCCTCAGTTTCAATGGAAAAATAAGGAAATGGGAGAAAGGAAAAAGAAACAAAGAATCTGGACAGCACCTTTTACAGTTAAAATATGAAAATCAGAGTTTCTTCCAAATAATCTACATGGTTTTTAATAAGGAAATGTTAAGAAAGAGAAAGAGAAGAATGTGTCCCTTGTGCTTTTTGTTTGTACATCCCGAATATTTCCTGGGGATCATTTTAAAATGATGCGAGGCTTTCCATTTTTGCTTGTGGGTTCATTCACTTCTCTGGATGTCTGCAGCAAGTGTTTGATTATGCCTTTTTTTCCCCAGTCCTGACAACAGACAAAAATGAGAAGCAATTAGAAAAACCAAAACCACCACTGTAACTTCTGTCGTAAAACCAGCAATAAAAAGGCTTGCTCTTTTGTCACTTAAAGTCGATGTACAATTAGCCTTTTTGTGTGCTCTGCTAAGTCTGCAAGTGTTACTAGAAATTATAAAATTAGTTAATTTTACTTGATGGTTCAGTTAAAGGAGACTGCTAAATGTAGAAAAATAGTTTTGGGAACTGCCTAGAGTAGAATACAGACTGCAGATAATGTATGGAAAATCATTCTAGTAACTAAAATCACAAGCATTCATGCTTAATATGCAGGCTATGCCAAATTTGGACTGCAAACTAAAAATAGCTTTTTCATTAGCTATTCAGAAAACCAATTTGAACTGTGGTAGTTAGATTTTTCCCATCGACCTAGGTGGACATTCAATGTAGTTAGCTGAAAAGATGCTAATAGTTGTGATTCTGTATGAAGATCGGTCTTCTCTCAAGTCTTTCATGCTGTCGAATTCCTTGAATTCAATCTATATATCCCACTAAAGTGCACTGGAGAGAGCTCGGGAGTGGCCGAACAATTACAGCTTACCACTGGACTAGACATGGAACGTCTCTCCTTTTATAGCTTAAATTAAATGTTTCAGTTAGGGGAGGGCAGATATGTATTGAGCATCAATAACAAATTTTACAATGCAAATAAGAAAATTTGGTATCTAGATTCCTTCTGTAGAATTTGTTTGTTTGACTTTGCCCATGATGTTCATCATTCATCAGATGGCTATATCCCGATATAGATGATGTTAATATTTGTTAGGTCATGATTACTGGCGATCAAGCTTTGACCGCTTGCCATGTTGCTGGCCAAGTTAATATTATTTCAAAACCAGCCCTGATTCTCGTCAATGGAAAAAACAGTGGAGAATATGAGTGGGTGTCTCCTGACGAGACAGATATTATCAAGTACAGGTAAGAGCTCTTTCTGATTTGAAGATGCTAACATCAGTGTTTTCCATGATCTTCCATCAATTAGCTCTATTATTTACACATCTCCTGACATTTTCTTCTACCTCATTTTGCATCATCTGCACGAGGCTGTTTTTGGAAGTTTGCTTGATTGCTTATTCCTTCAACTGCCTTAAAACTGGGAAATCCTTTTATCTTGTTATTTCTTTCCCTTCTGCTTTTCAAAATATATATTTTTGTTGACAGTGAAAATGAGGCTGAAGCTTTATCAGAGTCGTATGATCTTTGTATTGGAGGAGACTGCATTGAAATGTTGCAGCAAACTTCTGGCATTCCTAAAGTGATTCCATATGTAAAGGTTGCAAATCTCTCTACTCACTTCACACAGTACTCCATTGGTTTCTCAATCTCACAAAATATATATCATCTCTTAGGTATTTGCTAGGGTGGCTCCTGAGCAAAAGGAACTCATCATGACCACTTTTAAGTCAGTGGGAAGGGTAACACTGATGTGTGGTGATGGAACAAATGATGTTGGAGCTTTGAAGCAGGTATTATGCGAATACTATTCATCATAGTTTCACAGTATTGTTAGTCTGCCTGGAAGTTTAGTTAATCAGTAAGTTTTGTTCTTGTATATCCTATAATTTCTGAAGCTTACCTGAGTGTTGCATTCATTATGTAAATGGTAGGTATTAACCTATTTGAAGATTACTCTATAAAGGAGATTAATAGTACGAATTGTTTATATTCCATTTTCGTCAATATATTACCAAGTTAAATGCAGGCATTCTTCTTGCCAATTTGCTCGAGTACTCCCTTTTTCCAGAGATTCCATTAGACTTGACTTAGGCACATTAGTCTTATTCTGGAGTAACTTTTTTCAGCAATATAAGTCACTAATAACTGAATCCCTTTTCTCACTTCATGCTTGTGGTGAAATGCAGATTCCTTCTGTATCTCCTTGTATTAGGCTAGGATGTCTTCAAAAAAAAAAATATATTTTGTATCTGTTTTCTTATCTGTTGCTTTTGTTGACTTAAAAGCACTAGTTAGAATAGTACATAATGTTATTTATGTTACTCAGGCACATATAGGAGTAGCTCTACTCAATGCAATCCCTCCAGCTCAAAAGGAGAAATCTTCCTCTGAAGCACCCTCTAAAAATGATTCTGCGAAATCTGGTAAATCAAAGAAACTAAAATCCTTAGTTGAAAATGGAGAGGGTCCTTCAAAGAGCAGAGCTGTTTCAAAGTCAGAATCTACTAGCAACCAAGCTGTTAACCGCCATTTGACCGCTGCAGAGATGCAACGGGAAAAGCTGAAGAAACTCATGAATGAGCTAAATGAAGAGGGTGATGGTCGATCAGCTCCCGTTGTTAAGCTCGGGGATGCATCGATGGCATCACCATTTACAGCAAAGCATGCTTCTATTGCCCCTACAACTGATGTAATCCGTCAAGGTCGAAGTACCCTAGTCACTACCCTACAGATGTTCAAGATTCTCGGACTCAATTGCCTTGCAACTGCCTACGTCCTGAGTGTAATGAACTTGGACGGTGTGAAACTGGGTGATGTTCAAGCTACAATTAGTGGGGTTTTTACAGCTGCTTTCTTTCTGTTTATCTCACATGCTCGGCCCCTTCCTACCCTCTCAGCTGAACGGCCTCATCCCAACATCTTCTGCTCTTATGTTTTCCTCTCTCTCCTAGGACAATTTGCAGTTCACCTTTTCTTCTTAATTTCTTCCGTGAAAGAGGCTGAAAAATACATGCCAGATGAATGTATCGAACCGGACTCAGATTTCCATCCCAACCTTGTGAATACAGTTTCATACATGGTTGGCATGATGCTACAGGTAGCCACTTTTGCTGTGAACTACATGGGACATCCTTTCAATCAGAGCATCTCAGAAAACAAACCATTTTTGTATGCCCTTCTTGGTGCTGTTGGCTTTTTTACGGTTATAACCTCCGATTTATTCAGGGATTTGAATGATTGGTTGAAGTTAGTCCCTCTGCCAAGAGCCTTGAGAGATAAGCTGATGATCTGGGCTTTGCTCATGTTCCTTTGTTGCTACACGTGGGAAAGATTATTGAGATGGGCCTTCCCTGGTAAGATGCCTGCTTGGAGGAAGCGGCAACAGCATGTTGCAGCGAACATAGAAAAGAAGAAGAGTCTATAAGCATGTTGTCTGGGGTAGTGGTATCCACAGGAGAACAGATAAGAACTGATAAACTTATTTGCAAGAAAGGTCAAGTCACTTCATAAGTTATGATGCTTCAGTTTCAGTATATGTATCGTTATAGTCCAAGCTTCCTTCCAAGAAAAGAAGTTTTTACTGCATTTCTCACAATTTTTGCAGTCACAGAAAACTGGTTCAGGTTTTTTGGGTTGTGTAAGATCATTATTATTGCAAGTTACTGCACTATGGCACTTTTACTCTCTGGTAGAGCAACTTTGCCTTTAGAAACAATGATTTACGTTCTAAATTTTGTTAATTTCAATTTAGTGACGAGACGCCCATGAAAATGTGGACTTGTGCCATGTCATGGTTGCAGGATAGTTGGAACGTTCATGTATTTGGGAGTCTTTTCAGTCTACTCCCTGGAGAATTAAGCTGCATATGCTACTTTAATTTGTTTGATTTTTATTCTTTTCGTTAAATTTATATGCATGAAATTTGAAATGAATATAGAGAAGACTGGCTAATAGGAAACTTCTACATCTCAATTTGTTAATACAGTTCAGAATATCACAAGAATCTATTTCAGCTCAAATCATATGTTAATTTTTACAAGGTAAGACCAAATGCTAATTACATTAAGCTCTTGTTTGACGACCATTGTTCCTTATTCTCTTTTCTCATATTCATATTCAAATGCACGTTCTTACAATAAAATATTTTTCTTGTGAACCCAAAAATTTTCGTTACTTTTTAATCATAGGCTCTTCCAAAATTTACTATTCAAAAACTCTATCTTTCCAAAGAAATTCTGGCAAACAAGCTAATTCAATCACAAATTGGTTCGATATCTTACTGATCAAAGTCCACCTCTGCCAAGGTCATAACATGTTAATGTGTAACAAACAGTCGGATATCCATGACAACGTGGACGAATAGAACAATTTAAGTTATTAGTCGAAACATCTTTGTTTCTTTGCTCTCATAGAAATATGGGATTCATCGTTACTAAAACCATGGTTCATATGTTACATGTTTGTTAGTGCAATTCACATGGCAGGTTCAGTTGAAGAAAACCAAAGCCAACTTGTTTGGAAATATGCCACCCGTTGTAGCATCCTTTCCATCCTGGTAAAAAAAAGGCTGTAAACCGCATCTTAAAAATGATAATTCTAATGTAGAGTTTTTTAGACAAGTATTTACATAATTATGGCTGTCTTTACTCTAGAATCAGCTGAAACGAAATAGAAGCAAATTTCTTCATGATTCATATGACGAATATCCTTTCGGATTCGCTGAAGAGGATCAAATTGAGGTAGAAAACACTAAAATAACCGATTGTCAAGCCCAGATGCTGGAATGTAATATCCTAGCTAGATAGAGGTTCATTCAGAGAAGCTTCCCAGTAAACTTTATGATGCTTTCTTTGATTTAAATATTTTGGCGCAGAAAACGTAGACCACCATGTTGGCAAAGCTGAGTCCAGCCAAGAGCCAATAGAAATAATCAAGATGACCCTTGTTCAAGTTATCTGGAATCCACCCAGGATTTCCCCCACGGGTTGTTAAAGATGTGACCACTGTCAGAATAAAAGAGCTCAAGTAATTTCCCAAAGCAGTTGTGAGCAATGACAATGCACTACACAAACTGCGCATGGCGTCTGGTGATTGGTCATAGAAGAACTCGAGTTGCCCAATAAAAGTAAAAACTTCAGCTGCCCCCAACAAGAAATATTGAGGTATTTGCCAGAAAATACTCATTGGTACAGCAACATTTTCATCAACCAAACCGAGCTCTCTTGCAAGCTGCAATCGCTTGATCTCGACCACAGCAGCAGCTGCCATGCAGAAAACTGAAATGAAAAGGCCTATTCCCATCCGTTGCAATTCTGAGAATCCCCTTCCCTGGCCAGTAACCTTTCTAGCAATTGGTACAAGGACCTTGTCGTACACTGGAACCCAGAAAATAACACTGATAACGTCGAAAGTTGAAAGAGAGGCAGCAGGAATAGTAAAGGAACCAATCGAAGTGTCCATCACCATGCCTTGCTCTACAAACATGGTTGACATTTGAGCATAAACAGCAGAGAAGACTATTCCTGTAGCCCAAATGGGAAACATGCGTATCAGGATCTTCAATTCTTCAACCTGTGTTACAGTGCAAATCTTCCAAGGATTAGAATAGTCCCCAGTTTTGCTTTCAGCCTCCGAGACTACAGCAGCTTTATCAAGGCACCTAAAAAAGAAGTAACACATCATAAGGAGAAGGGAAAGTTTCTAACATAATTTTAACAGAATCACAATCTGAGTTAAATAACTTGGAAGAGAAAACATAACATTTACATGCTAGTCAAACTTAACATGATTAGAATGAAGGGAGGCAAACCAGGTCGGCATGCCAAACTTTACCATTAGGCTTAGGCCCCAACCCCATGGTTGTCATTCAATTACCTACCCCTCCAGCTTATAAACTGGAACCTTTTTTTTTTTTTTATGACCATGGGTGTTTGGACCAACTTACGCGCACTTCAACTAATCCCACGGGGCCCTTAAACTTACAGCTGGGTACTCACCTTAGTAGCCCTGAGGAAACTCGAACTAGTGATTATTGGGGAGCAAATCCAAGGCTTGACAACTGAGGTAGCCCTCAGGGTTTTTATAAACTGAAATTTTTAATGTAACTTTTAAATTATTATGGAAATAAATATCACTAAGAAGTCTTATTAGATAGCCGAATCTTCACAAAGTACCCTTCAATTCTCCACTGTTTTTGAATGATGGAGATGGGAGCTTTTGATTTGCTAGAGATTCCATTTTTTCCCAGAAAAATACCCAAGCTAAAAGATTTGATTTATTTGGCCAATATGAAAAGTATAACCATGAAAGGGGTCTCACGTCAAATAAAGACGTATAAATGTATTAATAGGATGTGTTGCATGTTAGAAATAATCTCCCACAATATAACTAAGAGAACTTAACCATGCCCAAGATAATTTGTGCATTCCTTTCAATTTCAGAAAGAAATAGCATTTCTGCCCAATCTCAAAAGGTGTATTTAACTAAAATTATCATTAACTGTTTAGTTGTTAAATAGTTTCCAGTTAGCAATCATGTATTAAGCAATTCTATAAAGGTAGACGGGGGAAATGTATATCACCATGTCACAGTAAGAAGATATGTAAGCCAATCAATTGGAGAATGCTATTCAAATTGAAATGTTTAAATAAAGTGAAATAGCCTTTTTCCAGAATAATTAAGAAATTGTCTCTACACACTGCTATGCAATATATGCCTCCGGCAGCCAAGATAGAGGATGCAATACATTTTATGACCTTCAATTCCCCCATTTCCCAATTGTTGTGCTTACAATTACTGTTAAATGAATGGACAATAAATATAATTTTACCCTCAGGAAAAGTACGGGCATACAGGGGAAGAATCTAAGGGAAACAAAGCAGGGCTAGAAGGTTCAGAAGCAATTAGATGTAATGTAAGAACCTTACTTTAATTCATCAGTGTGCAGCAGTTTTCGACTTCCTTCAATAGCAGAGCTTTTATCTGACGTTTCATACAGGTGACTACTGTCACTAGGGACGGTCAAATTCCATTTGTGACATGATGCAACCAAAACCTGGCACATTCTGGTAACAGGGCTTCCTCCTGGCTTCTGAAATCTGTAGAGATAAGAGCCTGAAAAGAAACTCACTATGGCAATGCCCATAAACACTGCAGGAATGCCAAATCCAATGCCCCATCCTGCATTATCTTGAATCCACACGATTAAACTACTTGATATCAAAGCACCGATGTTGATGGAAAAATAAAACCAATTGAAAAAGGAACCCTTCTTAACCCTCTCTTCAGGATCAGTATCATCAAACTGATCAGCCCCAAAAGATGAAACACATGGCTTGATCCCTCCTGTTCCTAATGCAATTAGATATAGCCCAAAGAAAAATACTGCATACTGATATGGAGTTGCTGAAGGGCAAACGGAATCGACACATTGAGCAGGCTTCAAAGCAGGAATAGATGCAGACATAGTCAATGTGCACATTCCCTTCACAGAAAAATTAATAAGGATCCAAAGGAGGTAAGAGATTTATGAACCAAAGAATCAGTAAATCAATAGAAAAAAATATATATAATAGGAATAAGACTGACGTTACTGGTGCATGTAGAATAACCTATGTTACATGTTATATTTAGAAGTAGGATATCCAAGTTAGCATTCAGAATGTTATTGATTTCAGCCCCTTCTTTTGGGTAAGAAAATAAAAATATAGAGCTTTGTAACTCAAAACCATAAGCATCAAGATTAACATTGTTTAGAGAGGCAAAGCTCACCGTAGACAGAGCATCAATGTCATTATGGAGTTATTTCCTCATTTTCCTCACTTAATGTATCATGTCAAATTATTCAGCTCTCCACTCCTTTTATCCTCTTAGAGTTTAATCCTGACATCAAGCAAGATTTTACAGTGCATTGCTGTCTCTTTTCACATTGTTCTTTCTAATTGATAAGTTATATTATCCCCCAATTGATATATAATACTCTGCAATTTCCTGATAAGTCCTGTCCTTAAATACCACGTTCTAGTAGACTTTGCAAGCTGACGCATAGTAATACCAGTTTGCTCTGATTATGTTCTAACAAAAGGACAACGTGAAGTTAGCTAGATAGCCGACCAAAAAGAGATGACATAGCATAAACTATTAATGCCATGGAATTATTTATTTTCTAAGTAAGTCGTGAACTGACTCGTAGAGAATCAGTAAAAAAACAAATGGACCAGGTGGAGCGATCTCTATATTCAACGTAAAAGATACTTCGCAACTTTAGATTCTAAGGAACCAATTAGATTTTAGTTGATACGAAAACTAAACGTATTTCAATACACATCAAAATTCAAAGAATATAATTTACTTACCATTTAGGTTATATTAAATAGTGCTGTAAGGAGAGAGATTGAAACTTTGAAGACAGAAAATAAAGGTTAAAAGTATTATAATAGAGATAAGAGGTTTTCCAATGAAGCTAGAGAATGTATTATGTTGTCTTTTGAAGTATACTCTCATTGAAGAACCACTTAGTCTGCCAATTCAAATAGTTGTGATAAAGGTGCCTAAAAAGAAGGAAGGAAGTGGGCATGGTCAAGTGGATATTTCTATTTATACAAAATAACACAGGAATGTCTATTTCTCTTCCTAAATTTAGTCTCAGGGACAAAAGAAGTGTTGAACATGGAGGCTGTAAGCTGTCAACCGCTATTCGAGCACAAATAATCAGACCATGCGACAATAGAATGCCAGTGATATTCTCGTATAGCTAGTAATTGGAGAGACATAATAAAAAAGAGGAAGTAGTACAATAAAGTATATAGTGGAGAAGACTGCAATTGTCCAATATCTTCCCATGTAAGCATCTGCCAGGACAGCCCCAATCAGAGGAGTTAGGTAGCAAGTGCC